TATAAGCATGTATATATATATATATATATATATATATATATATATTGAATTCATTGAATCTTGATAATGAAATGAGCTAATGTCGTGTAAAACGTGAAGGCAACCGTTGATTTGGATTATAGTATGTATATTTTGGGGAAACCATATTGTGTGAAACTTTATAAAGGAAAAGTTATAAAGTTAAAACGAATATAAGATTTATAATATACATATACGTATATATATATATATATATATATATATATGTTAGTATTTTTTTATTTTATTTGATATTATTTTTAAAAAATTATTGAAGATTATTAGACGTCTGAATATATTGTTAAAAATTAAGTTAACTATAATGAAAAATTAATATTCGTTAATCAGTTAATATATATATTTTATTTAAATTAAAAAATTTAATTAAATTAATTATTGTATTTTAAATAAATACAATAATTAAATAGAATTATAATATAATATAAAAAAATAAAATGTGACAAATTTCAATAGGGCATAGAAGTTAAAAACGTGCCCAAATTTTGTAGTAATTAACCTTAAACAAATCTCTAATTAATTAATGCTTATAATTAAACCAATATTAATTATAAATTTCTTTTTCTTTTATTATTTATTTATTTATTTTTTTGGATATTTTCCGACTTTATTGCTTTATAGAACGAAGGCCCAAACGCTTTGCGGCTGCCAGGCCAAATTTTTAATTTAGAATTTAATTTTAATTAAATATATATTATTTATTTTATTTTAAATTAAATAGATTTTTTTTTTTTTTCAAAAAAGGACTCGAATTCACACGAGCGGCACCGACTCGGACTCAATCGACCTGCAATGGCCGCAAATCTCGGCAACTCGTGTGAGGCAAAAAGAATGCCAGCGTGGAATTTTTAATTTATTTTTAATATTAATATAAATATTAAAAAGCGATAGAGAGAGAGAAAATAATATATATTTTAATTACTAATTACTTCCCAATTATACACGCCTTAAAAAGCCTAATTATTTCCATAATTTATACTAAAAAAGAAAAAAAATATATAAAAAATAAATAAAAGTGCTTAAAACTGGGCAAAACTCCACTCTCAGTCTTCTTCTTCTCCGTTAGTTTTAACGGAGATATTTTTTTTCTCAAAAATTAAATAAATAAAATATAACTAAGCGGGCAAAAAGGTGGCCGGTAACGTTATTTCTCGGCCGGTACAAAATCTGCCGAAAAATCGGCGGGGACTTGGAGAAAGTCGCGTCTGTGGAAGAGCCGATTATAGTGCAACCAGAGGATCTGACAGGAACAGATCGTCGATGTCTTGGAAATAATCGTCGACTTGACCGAACATGGCCGGCGAGGTACCGAAATCTCCGAAAGAGGTCGAGACGAAGCCGACATCATGAAAAGTCGCGTCGAGGAACACGCTGTCACTTGGCTCATCACTGACCACATCACTGAACACACTCGAGGAGCATGGCTCGTCAAAAAGCGGCATGGGAGGGATCGAATCGTTGAAAAAGTCGTCTAGGAAGGGAAAGTCCATCGGCATGGAGTCACCCGATTCATCCATGAGTTGACTCGAGTTTTGAACCGGTTCAGGATTAGACTTGCTCTCTTGTTCTTCGGGTTCGTTAACCGGTTCGGCTGATTTTTGTGGTTCGGCTTCGTCAGTGGAGTGGGTTCTGAAGTTGAGCACCGAGGTCGGAGAAGATAGGTTGTGAGACTCGTCGCCGGATTCGTAGCCGGAACCTGAAGTGTTAACCTCTGGTTTTTCAGATTCTTTCGCCGGTGGAGTGACGAAGTTTGTTAACGCGTCTGGTCCGCGAAGCTTAATGGCGGCATTGTCGTACACCATGGCAGCTTCTTCAGCAGTATCGTAGGTTCCCAACCAGAGCCGGACACCTCTTGCGGGATCTCGAATCTCAGCCGCCCATTTACCCCATGGCCGTTGTCGTACCCCACGGAACTTCCTGCCATTTTCTCCCTTAGAACACGAGGGAAGCTTTAACGGCCGGCGACGAGAGGGAGGACCGGCGGCGGGCCTCTTCTTACTTGAGGCAATGACGACGTCGTTTTTAGGCTCGATGTTGATCTCGTTAACGAACTTCTTCACTCTCTGCCGGCTGAAGAACGGGTCCTCCTCATCGTCGCTGGAGGAGTCCGTTGCGTCGTGATCAGTCATGGATATCCGTACAACTCGGTGTACAACTTCCGTGTGCTGATTGGTGACCTCCTTGTGGTTAAACGACGACGGTTTTGCAAACTTCTTGGTGATGTTTTTGTGCTCTGTGTACTTAACAGGGCATAGGATACTCTGGTCCATCATCATCATCTTCTTCTTCTGTAAAATTTTTTTCAGAATCTCTCTATTCGCATCGAGGGAAAATCAAAAGGAAAAAAGAAAAACAAAAAAGCAGACAGGCTCGTGAAGAAGAAAGAATAAAGAGGTCCAACAAAAAGGTTGAAGGAATTGTCAAAGTGAAGCTTGTAGCGTTTTTCAGAAAATAACCCAAATCAGAAATCTGCCAAAAAGTAACCAAAAGGCAAAAATCGAAAGCAAAAGGTCACGACAAAAGACTATTCTCCATTGACGAGCAGAATACTAAACAGAGAAGACTCCCAGAGACAGAGGGATCTCAAAATATGAAGAATCAGAAAATCCGTGGAGGAGAAGAAACCAAAGAGTTCTTGTACAAAATAACTTGGACGAGGGAAAAAGGAAACAGGTCGAAACCTTCCATAAAACGATCAATTACTTCTCCAGAGATTTCCTAGCGAAAAAAAGGAAATCTGCCAAAACAAAACCGAGAGTCACCCGGAGCAGAGTTTCATAAAATGATGAGTGAAACTCTCAGAGAGAGAGAGAGAGTCAGTGGAATGGGAAAGTGTAGTGGTGAGATTTGTGTGAGAAGCTGAGTTTTCTGTTGCGGTGGAGACGAAAACACTGAAATCGCTGTTTTATAGGATCCAACAGCCGTAATTAGAAACCCAACGTAGGAGAAAAACCCGTTTTAATTTTATTTTTTAAATTTTCAAAATACTTTTTTTTTCTAATTAATTACTTTGCTTATTTGTTATTTCCCAATTAGTATTAGCCGAGCCGGTCGGTTCCTAATAGAATATACGAGCCGCCGCATCCCGATGACCCTATTAGATTCGAACACGTGTCGAGTGGGCCCGAAATAGAAACCCGATCGAATCAGATAGCATCCAACGGTGATGAGTAGGCGCGTGGCGAGCTCTCGAATTGCGTGATGCCAGTCATGTGAGGCCCAAGATACCCTGCTCTGTTAAATTGGTCGGTCAAATTGTTTGATTAGGCAACGCACACCCCCTGCTTTGACCGCTTAAAAAGTAAAAAATGCCGCTGTTAATTATAGTTTATCTCCTTAATTACCCGCTTTAATCAGGAATTTACAGTCGGTAATTACCTGTTTTAACTGCTTCGTTAATCAGGCAAGTAATTCTAAACATGACACGTGCTATCCCCGCCTTCAAATATAAAAATTTACTGTGCGTAATTAACTTATACGATGGATGTAATTAATTTAAAGAAATTACAAAATATAATAAACAATATTTTTGTGCTGGCTCCCGGCTGGATTAATTAAATTTTAATTTTTTATGTTATAATCTTTTTTAGATTTACTTTTTTACAGCTGGACTAATTCGGCTGGCAGCACAGGAATTTCACCTTCTTTAAATGGTAAAATACTATATTATTTTTTCAAATCGTTATAATTAATTTAATTAAAAATATATATATTATAGTTAATTAATTCAAATAAAATAATGAAAAAATCTCTTTCTATTTTTGGTTTGATTATACAAGATTTGTTTCCTTTTATGAAAAATCAATTTCCTGATTGAGTATTCGGTCGACAGTTCAAACCCAAATTTGACTTATTAGACAATAATTACGAACCGACATCGTTTTAGTACCCATTCCCTTTCACATTCTCGTTCATTATTTCTTGATTTAATTTCACACGAAAATTAAAAAAAAAAAAACAAATTTTTAATAATTAATTTGTAAAGAGTTAAAAATCGGATTATCCGAAACGTGGAGGGTGGCGGTCATTCCATTGGATAGGGTAAAAACTGTAGCCAAACAAGACTTTACTGCCGTGCGAGATCACGCGGATGACTCGTGACGGACAGTTAAGTCTGGTGGGGCCCAGAACCCAATAGATGATTCACATTTCTATTTTCCGGTTAGAGAGATCTTGACCGCTTGATGTCCGGAACGCATGGTCAACATTTGCTTTACTCTTTTGATGAACCGTTTTACTACTTTCTTTCCATATGTAGTACCGTACACACTATACGCTCCCATTCATTGCAATCAATTTTTAGTCAAATAAAAAATATTTTATAATATTTTACTGTTCGTATTTTTTGAATTTAAAATTAAAATATTAAAATAAAAGGAAATTTATTTAATAATAGATTGCAAAATTTCAAATATTTTCAAATGCAATTTCCCAAAATTATGTTGTATTTTGATATCCCAATTTATTATTATTTATATACTTTTCTTTTTTAATTTATTATGTATTTTCCAAAATAATATTTTGATATTTTTTAGATACACCCGTTGATACTTGGAAATTATAATTTGACTTTATTAATTATAATTTTTAAAATAAATTATTAAATTAATTGAGATAAAATTTTAATTTATTAAAAAATACAGATAAATTAACCCGTAATTTAAAGTATATTATTAAAAGAATAATTAATTAAATGTTTTTTCTTAATCCCACTTAGGAAAAGTCGATAATCATAATACAAATATACTTAACCGTCTAAACAGTAATAATTAGTAGTTAGAACATTAATTATCGAATTAATTTCACACTTCAGTCCAATTATAAAAGTCAAATTCTATTAATTTGGTCATACGTCTAACTTCCAAAGCTCATGGAACCAACAAATAAAAATACAAAAAAAATAATTAAAAAAATACAAATTAAATTACCCTTTTGTTTAAAATGTCAAAATTAAGTACACTTCA